GGCCTGTTTATGGTTAGTTCTCAATAGTTATATTGGTAACACAATAAATGCATCGTCACAAGTGGAAGAGTTTCCGACTGTTACAAAAGGAGTATTCTAAAAAGGCTTTCCATCTACTGGACATCTAGACACAGAATTTAAATTATGATGTTTGGAAAAAAAAAAACACTCACCTGACGGTATTGCAGAGTGAACTCTTAAATCCTTAACAAGATCATCACTTACAGATGATGAAAGAGTTGTGGAGCTGGCTTCTGAGCCAATAGACTTGGTAGGTGATTGGTCAGGTTTGTAGTGTGTGAAGAAATCTTGAAGACCTGCTACTCTAGATGTCGTTAACTGTGGTATTGATGCAAAACATTCTGATACAGGGGCTACAACCAAAGTTACTAAACTTTCAGTTTGTTCATCATCACCTGCAAACACATAGTTTTAATTATTTATCATCAGATGACTGGTAATAAAAAAGAAAAACATTACAAATATTTTGTTCATTATATTCTTATTACTTCTATGTCAGGGCTAACAACTAAAATTATATTATGAAAATTTACAAGTCATTTCAAACAAATAAGATTCAAATTCAAATTGTCAAAAGATATTTTTTACATAATGAACAGTCAGACTAAGGGGGTGCACCACTAAGGAATGGCGCAACTGAATGGTGAGGTAATCATCTCAGAGAGGGGGTGCACTCCCCCTGCATCCTCCCCCTAGATCCGCCCCTGGTTGTCGAAACTTCAGTCACCAACAACAGTTCTTTTCAGAACTATCCTCACCCGGACGATCACACTATACAAACTACTGGACCAGGTACTCCTGGGTTTAAACCATTTACTATGTTCTGTTATAATAATGATAGTGAGAATTATCATTGCCCAAGTTTGTGTTATCTGCCAAAGCTAATGATTAATTAAAAACAATGAAATAAATCTCCTACCATTGTCTATTGATGACACTAAAAAGCAGGACCATAAAGCTCCTTCTGCTGGAATAACTTGCTCAATGAATGAACTCATAAACCAGGCTTGGGATCCTGACTTTGTATCTATATCCCAGTGTCTGTGTTTTCAAATTTCAAGCAAACGATCAGTTATTACTCAATACAATACAATACAATACAATACAAATTTTATCGTCAACTCCCCATGGGGGCTTTTCAGAGATGAAGATAAAGATAATTAAAAAATACTCAAAGATTATCGATAAACAATTATCGAAAAACTATTTACATACAAAATTTATGACATTAAAAATTGATTTAAGAGGAAGCCTTTCATTTTAGATTTAAAAATGATGAGAGATTCACTTAATTTAAAATGGGGTTTTAAGGCATTCCACAAAGTTACAGTTCTGTAATAAAAAGATCTCTGTCCCGACTTGGTTTTAAAAAGCGGTACATTATAAAGTTGGGTAGATGATCTGGTGACCACTAATGTTCCCTCTGGAGATAAAATCAAGAGCAACTCAAGAATGCAAAGCAATTATTCTGTTTTATTACCATTTGAAACTGTAACAAGAAGTATTAACTAATTAATACCTGATCCAGTTAATATGGACCCTTTTACTGATGTCATGTTTTTTCACATCTGATGATTTATCATGCCCAATTTAGAAAATATGCTAAGTTTCATAACCTGAATGCAAGGAAAACTCATGAAAATAAGGGACTCCAAAGTTGCCAGTTTTTGCAAAGAATGGATGCCAGGGGGTAAGGGTTGCCCCCTGGCATACATTTTGTCACATGCCCTCTTAACTCATGTCAAATCTCTACACAATTTAGGCCCACTCCTGCCTGGAATACCAGTCATCACTTGTAGAGCATAATTAACAATATTGAGACTTTGCAGTAAGGACTTCTACTCCATTTGATCAATCTTAGTAATCCTTCTTCCACTTGAGAGATGCCTGTCATCAACTCCCACAAAACTATCAAACAGTAACTTATTTAAGCACTTGCCTTGAATAAACTGCATTTATCTCTCCACCAAAACACTCACGTAAGTAGCAGACAGTCCTTGCTATGATACTTGTGTAGTTAAATGAGATTGAGATAACATCTTGAGTAGTTGCCATTGTAACTTTTGACACATCCTTTACTAGTGGATCCCACTCCAACAACAGACCAGGCTCTTTTAGGATATTTATAACTTCCTGTGCAAAGTAAATAATAAATATTATCAATTGGATTACTCAACCTTGTCTTCAATGAGGGAATAGTCAATGAGTTGTAGCTAGCAACTTAGCTAGCTAATTCGGTTTGCAAGAGCCAAGAAAGTACTACTCAACATCATATTGATAAGTATAAACCTCATTTGCATTAATTTCAACACTCATTTACATCATTATACAACTACAGTTATACTTGACTACCTGTTTAATCAATAGACCTCATCAGTTGACAGCCATAGAATATAGCATATTTAATATTTTTAACACAAGAACTGCATTATCATGATTATACTGATTATCATACAGTTGAATCTAACCCGCTGGGACGCTGGAATGATTCCAGAACATCCATAAATTATTGCTGGTACCCAGGGGGGTGCAGTGCTTCCCAAGTTCTTTTGCCATACTCGTAAGCCACTGTCGACTCTGTTGAGATGCCAGCCTTTGGATGCAGTGGGTGGGACATGCTAAGAAACAGAAAACATTTGTTAACTTGTTGGCTGATCATGCATTTGAAAACCGACAACCTGACAGACCAATGGACCTTCTATCCACCCAACAGACCAGTTACCAAATGGGCCAATAGACCAGCTGACTGACTCACTGACAATAAATAATAGCCCGATTTTACACCTATTCTAAGGATCAGATGGCCTGCATACGTGAGCAATCAGAGAATCATCAAAATGACACATATCAACAGAATCGGAGATGAGATAAGAAGATGGTGTTGGACTTGGATTGGACATAAACTGCATGGCGAAAGATCCAGTGACTGCATGGTGGAGTTAAGGTCAAGACCAGAAGATAGACGTGCAGTAGGAAGACCTAGAAGGACCTGGAGGAGGACAGTAGAGGAAGAGAGATGGCAAGAAGGATAGAATGACAGGAACACGGTGAGAGCAGTAGCCAGGGATAGGGCACAGTGGAATCAGAAAGTTACGGCCTTATGCGCCTACTGGTACAAAGAGCAGTGATGATGACGATGATGACGATGATGATGATGACAATGATGATGATGATGATGTAATTTTCCTTTTCTTATACAGATGAATCTATCCTTTGCCATTTTCAGGAACTGTTGCACAAACAACAGTGAAATAGCAGAAAATGACATAATCACTAAACAAATGAGAGAATCATCAAGCAGACAATGACATAATCACTACACCCTCACTAGTGAGAATGTGGAAAATGCCCCACTCTGGTCCCAAATGAAGTTTCCTCTGAATTTTACTGGTGGTGTATTTTCCAGTAAAATTCTCATATCTTAAGGCATATAATATAATAAGAGTATACATTGTGAGTGAGCCATGGCATGCTACACACAATAACTGGAGTGATGAGTTCGTAATAATTACACACAAAGGACACTGGCATTTTCTGTAGAATATAAAACTGTTCAGTGAGTACTTGACATGTGAAATTCAAGGTCAAAATTTTGCTTCTTTCAGTTCTCGTTGACATCAGCTGTACTGAATGCAATTAATATTTAAATATCCACATAACAAGGTTTCTTTGACACAAGCACTTCTTCTACATAAACACCAATTAAGAATAATTAGTTGAAAAAAACCCTATAAACTATTCCCGTTAAAATTGTTCGTTATAGCAATAACACGGCTTTGTCACCAAAATTATTAAGCAAAGAATGGGAAAATTTATGTACAATCAATTAAGCTTACAATCGATCACAAATGGTTACCGAGCTTACAAATTAAGCTTTTAATCCTGTAAACAGTCAGGATGGATGGCAATGTGGTAACAAAACATTTAAATCAAAGCACCTACCTTCTTTATGAATTTTACTTTATCCTGTGCAGATATTGAATCTTGAAGATTTCCCTGCGAAGTAATATTAAAGGATCAAAGCAGGCGAAAGTTGGTCACTACAAATTCTATAGAAATAATATGGGCTGCATGCTCAACTCAGCTGATCGTGTAATCTTTGATCGGCGAAAAAGTTGCCTCGAAATACAGTGCATGTGGTTTGAATTGACTCACCTTTCGAAAGAACAGCGCATAGGTGAAAAATGCAACTACTGCACTTATCAAGAAGACATAGAAAAGCCACAAAAGGGAGAACATTGCCTTCCACGCGCTGAATTCCTTCGCACCTCCTTCGTCTTTGAGATGGATGTCAGTGTGAGCTGAATGTACTGTCTGTCGACTGTCAGAGTTCGAAGGCTGATTGTGAGCCCACGAACATTTACTATGGTGAGGTTCACAAGCACTTCCGGAGACTTCCGGAAGTTCGGAATAGTTTTTCTCTCCGAGCCCGAGAATTCAGTTCTGAACCTTTCAAAAGCAGTCGAGACTCCGAGACGACGTTGCAAAAACAACTCGTGATGGTGACACAGATGTAACTTTAACTTTGCGAGACGTGTAATTGTTTGAAGGATCTTTAGCGTTTATAAACTCGTGACAATCAACTGAATGAACTGTTACCTTCACCACGAGATCTTCAGAAAAAAATCAAAATTCTACTCTTTGAACCCACAACAGCGGTTACGACACAGTCACGGACGAAATTAAATGTGTGAGATCATAATTAATCATAACTAACAAAATACACGCCCATTTTTTTCACCACATCAGGCGGAGGGCAAGTAGCCATGTGGTTTGCGTCTTCCCCGTAATTGGCGAGCCATGTTGTCCGTGACAAAATTTGCGTTGCGTGGCGCGCCCTTTAGTTGATACTTTCCGTGTCACTGAATGCTCCTCCCCTATAATTCCAAAACCTTTCAGAAATGACTTTTTCCCAGTAAATTTTGTCATTGAGACGATAAATGGATCGTAGACAGATTTGTCTTTTTCTTTTCTCAAAAAGCGGTCGATATTTTTATTTAATGTCATTTGGTATTGTTTATATCGCGCATTTGTTCTTTTGCCTTTGGCTACCTTCTCCGTTTTAGTGTCTTTCTCTTCAATGCGATAGCGAGATAGAAAACATGATGCAATACGATGCTTTTCCCGGGAAATCCTGATTCATTGTCACTGACGCTAAGAGGTCCCGTGGTTCCATTGGTTTGCCATAAGGCGAGATAATCTCCTGGCGTGGCGCGAGATGTTTTACGTACCCTAGCCTTTACGAGCTAAAATCTCGCATTTGATTTTGAACGAATTTAAAGGGTATGCAGATTTGACGGATTTTCGTGAAATTTTGCCAGGACATTCCAGGGATAATGACAAACGAAAGTGTGTCGGCAAATTTGGATATGTCACACATTTTTTCCCGTGGCGTCCATTTGCGCAACACGTCTTGCATTTTTAGCTACTCCAAATTTAGAGGCGGATACATAAACAACCAATCAGAATATCGAAAAAGCCCGACACCATTGGTTGATTGATGCCTTGTGAATAAGACTGTGCAGTCATTTTGCTCCTGTGGCGGCATCAGATAGGCGATAAATTCAATAGAAGAACCTTTGGCCTTTTCACCCCTTAGCGGCTCCTGACATTTCCTAAAGAAAAACTCGCCTAAATTGTATTTTTGTCATAAACTGAATTTATTAAGGTTTCTTCTGATATATAGTTTGCTGGAGTTTTGTTGAAACTGGCGCGCGTATAATTTTTTTTCCCGAAGGACACCCGCGAAGGTGAGAAGTAACCTTAAAAGTGAGTACCTAGAAGAGGGTGAGGAGAAGAAGACTGTCAAAAGAGTGTGGTTTAATTTCAATCTTGCTTCACCCATTCTCTCTCCCAGTTTGTCTATTTCCAGCTTCCTAAGGTTTGAAGAGTAAGTCGTTTTACTAGCTTTTGGGCTGTTAAGTTGAACATTTTGTTAAAAATTTACTTGGTTATAATTACGCTGTCACAGTGCCAATACAGCCTCCCGGGGGAGTCAGGCCCCCTCCCGAAAATGCTCCTCGTATATGTCCCAATAGTCCATACGAGGAAGCGTTACCCAAAACGGTTCCTCTTTTCTGGCTGGAGGTATACAAAAGGGTTTCCACCACAAGTTTAAGTATAAGAAAGGGTAAGAAAAATGTCATCTAGGTATTTAAGAGCCTCATACAGACTAACCTAAACGGTTGATTCGTCCAAGTTTAGTACAAGTTTAGTAAATTTCTACTGTAGCTAGGTGAAGGGGTAACATTTTCTGTGGAAGGTATATACCCCCCGCAGTATCGCTTTTGGTGATTTAGACATTTAAACTGCGACTTTTAAACTGAAAACGTCAAGACTGGAAGTCAAAAATGGAGAATATAATGTTAATTTTCCATGTACGAAGTCAAAGGGGTAGGAGGTCGATAGGGGAAAACTAGAGGCACAAAGCGTTATTGGAGGGAGACCAATCACTCTTCTAGTTTCTCCCTCTCCCTCCTCTTTGAACACCTGCACGCAGACTAACTGTTAGACTCTACACAGAGTAATATCTGCACTTACAGACACTTCCCAGACTGAGAGGCAGTCACCTCTTGTTAGCAGACAGTCAGCCACAGTTCCAGTTACAGAAAAAAATATTGCTTCATTTTAACCTTCCATAGGCCATCAAATACCTCTTCTAAACAGACACATCTTCAGGTCCGTTTTAGGCGTGTCCTCTGAAAAGAGGTTAGCCCATTTGTACAGTGGGCTGTACAAACCACGTAGAATGTAAGAAGTCACATGTATATGAAAAAATCTGTTTACTCAGCTAGGTTGCAAGCAAACTGCAAGCATTTACAGATGTACGTGCCCCATTACTCGTGGATGAAAATGCATTTTGAGTTTTAACGAAATTTTACCACTCTCCACTCTTAAATCTTGTTGGGTTTTTTAAAATAAACTACATGGGAACAAGTAAATTAAAATGATGCAACACTATTATTCAAAAAATATTCTATAATTTGTACAGTATTTACATGTCATAATTAATTTAAACAAAGAAAGAAAATCCTACAATAGTCTTAGTATTTAGTGACAAGATGCATAATGAGTTGAATGTAAAATGAACAGTTAACAAAATGAATATCAGAGTTTCTTTGTAAGTTCAGTCAATGGCACTTTGGAAATTGTTTTCTTTTCCTATCAATAATAAACAGGCATTCCTTGCCACATGCTACGAAATATTTCAGTTTTTCTAATGTTCCTTGGTGGACACATGTGTTCAAGTCCTGCAGTGTTTCACTCAATCTCTCTACAATGAAGAACAGCCTATCAAATTCACACACCAGTCGTTTATCGGGAGAATCTCTCATGAAACTCAACACAATTGCCAAACCCTCCAAGGCAAGAAGTGCCTGAAATTTAAAACTGAACACTTCTCTCAAATCCTGGACTCTGTTGTTCTCAGTGAAGTAATTCATTCGCCTTTTAGCACAACCACTCCATCGTTTTTCCTCTTTTACTTTAGGTGGCAATGTCCCATAAATCTTTATTGATTGTTCAAGTCTGTCCAGTTTCTTGTGCACCTTATTTATCAGGGCTGTTGATCTGGCAATTCGGCTTGTTACAGCAAAGTATTCATAGGATGTTAAGTGTTTTGTGTCCACTGGTAGCTCCACCTCTCTTTTCGTCACCTGGTGTTTGGCTTGACAAACATGATCCCAATTCCACTTTTGCAAGCACCACCAACAGAATTCCTGACTGCACAAACCACAAACCATGTGGTTACAGCCAGGACCTTTTTCTATTGGGTAGTGGCAAAATGGACAATTCTTGACATTTACAGTTGTGATCAAAGAATTACTTTGGCTGTTTATAATCGTTTTCGCATACCCTTCATATCTCTGTCTAAAGATGCGAGCCTCATCACATGTTGCAGGCCAGTGGGCATCTTCCTGGCACTTGAAGCACCACATGGTACCACAGACACATACCACTGGGACCGGCTGGACAGCACCAAGAGAAGCGAGATGCCTCCCTGAGGTGACCCGTGATGAAGAAGCCTTGACAACCAACTTGCACTGGTCTGCAGGACACCACTTCCACTCTGGGTCCATCTCCAGGAATGTATCAAGCCTCTTCGCCAGATGTCTTCCATACAATGATGGCACAAGGGACATCAAGGTGATAAGGTCAACTGTTGTGCTGCATTGATGTCCAGGACACTGCAACTCAGTATAGCCATTTCCAATCAGGGTCTTCAGGTGAGCTCTCCAGCAACTGTTGCAGAACTGGTGACCACAAGCAGTCAGGGAAGTGTGACAGGAGATAAAATTGATATCTGAAAATATGACAGTACATATTTGTAACACAAGAAAAAATTGAAAAAAGAGAAGGAGTACGCCTGTTATAATAGGCAGTCATGCATGAAGCTCTTATGCTACGTACATTTGGGTGGCATGTCAGTCAATACACAATAAACAATACATGTACATGTGCATGGTTTTAGGACCCAACTGGCAAGGGGATGGCCAGGTTATCTACAAAACATCACCAAGAAAGTACACTTCACAAGCTTTGGGCCTAAATAAAGTCATTACAAATCCTGCAGAAATCTGAATTTGTTGACATACAGAATCTGACCTCTGAAGCAGGACTGATTACAAGACCAGCAGCTA